GCAATCCTACTTCCGTAGTGATACTGCCTCGGAAACCCAAGGAGGGGTCGCTATGAGTCAGGGCTGACTCGACGGCACATAACAACAACATAACAACATCCTCAGTCACTTGAAATATCCAAAATGGCCACCACTTATAAACATTCAAAATGGCTGAGCCCCTGGTCACTTTAAATATCCAAAATGGCTGCCACTTGTAAACATTCAAAATGGCTGCACCCTCAATCACATTAAATATCCAAAATGGCTGCTGTGTGTAAACAATCAAAATGGCTGTGCCCTCTGTACAGCAGAAAGCCACAGCTCAGGTTGTCTCCCTCCTTGCTGTTTCCCTTCCTTGTCAAAGGCCACCAGAGCAGTTGTCCCTGCAGCCCTTGGTGACTAGGACTGATTGATCTTTAGGTCAATTCTCAGGTCCCAACACCATTTGGAAATATTCAGGTTGTTGGTTTCATCAGAGTAGCTGACAGTCTACAGCTCCAACTGTCTCTGTACTCACTGTTTTCCTTCAGGTTTTACACTAGTCGGTGCCTAATCCACTTCTGTATAGTTCCTTTCAAAGCCCAGGGTTTTGGGATTATCTTCTGTATCTCTGTCAATTGGTTTTTCTTTTCTTTGTTGAAGAGGGTCTGTGTCGCTTGTCTGCCTATTCCTCCAACTTACCGGAAGTCCCACTCTATTGTTCAGATGGTATCTACATTCAGGGGGGATATTATCAAGGTCATATTTTGGCTCTTGTGCACTTGTTTGAATTGTCTTTAACTTCAAGTTGAACTTTCATATGAGCAGTTGATGGTCTGTTCCACAATCAGCTCCTGGCCTTGTTTTGGCTGAAGATACTGAGCTTTTCCATTGCCTCTTGCCACAGATGTAGTCGGTCTGATTCCTGTGTACTCCATTTGGCAAAGTCCATGTGTATAGCCACTATTTGTTTTGTTGATAAAAGGTATTTGCAATGAATAAGTCATTGGTCCTGCAAAATTCTATCATGCAATCTCCAGTGTTATTTCTATCACCAAGGCCAAACTTTCCAACTACTGGTGATTCTTTTTTGTTTCTAACTTTTGCATTCCAATCTCCAGTGATAATCAGCACTTCTTGATTGCATGTTCAGTCCATTTCACACTGCAGAAGTTGGTAAAAATCTTCAATTTCCTCATCTTTGGCAATAGTGGTTGGTGCATAAATTTGAATAGTAGTAGTAGTAGTAGTAGTAATCTGCCTTCCTTGTAGGCATATGGATATTATCCTATCACTGACAGCATTTTACTTCAGGATAGCTCTTGAAACTTTCTTCATGATGATGAAATGCCATGCCATTCCTCTTCAACTTGTCACTCCCAGCATAGTAGATCATATGGTTGTCTGATTCAAAATGGCTAACACCAGTCCACTTCAGCTCACTAATTCCTAGGATATCAATCTTTATGCGTTCCATTTAATTTCTGACAACTTCCAATTTTCCTTGATTCATACTTTTTACGTTCCATGTTCTGATTATTAATGGATGTTCACAGCTGTTTCTCCTCATTTTGAGTCATGCCACATCAGCAAATGGAGGTCCCAAAAACTTTATTTTATCCATATCATTAAGGTTGGTTCTACTAGGATGAGGCAGCTCTTTCCCAATCATATTCTGAGTGCCTTCCGATGTGAGGGGCTCATCTTCCGGCACAGTATCAGACAGTGTTTCAGAGCTATTCATAAAGTTGTCCAGTAATATATCTGACAGTGTTTCACTGTGTTCTGGCCACCTAGTGCTGCTCTGATAAGAATACACCACAAATGGGATGGCTTAAACAAACAGGAGTCTATTCTCTCACAGTTTGGAGGCTTTAAGTCCAAATTCAAAGTGCCAGGGTCTAGCGCTGTGTGAAAGCCCCTTGACCTTGGGCTTCAGCTCTGCCTCCTGCTCCTGCCCCACTGAAGCTAGAGGCATCTCTTCACTCAGGCAGCTACTGGCTAATGAGGTTAACAAGCCCATGGGCAACAAATAAAATGTCACTGTCCTGATGTTAGCAAACAACACAGCAGGCCATTAATTCAACTCTATTTTAAGTCCTAAGGTCAGCAGAGCATGGCAGCCTCCTGAACAATGATGACACAGCTACACAGAGTCCAAGTGTGCCATAAGCTAGAGACCATTCCCAAAGCTATTTCTTATATATGGGAAGCAGACCACATACCCAAAGCAGCTACTCAGCTGCTCGTGGTAGATCCCACTATGGAGATGATTGCCAGTCTCATCATGGGGAAAACTACCACCAGCTGCCCAGCCACTCAACCAGGCCCAGCCAAGCTGACACACAAACATAACCACCACAATTCCATCCCTTGTCAACTTGGCACCTGTACAGATCTTCAATGGGTGGTATCTGTACAGGTCTTCTCCACTGAGTGGCTCCAGTCCCCTAGTTCCTGAGCAGTGACCTCACCCCCTGGGCCTGGTGGGGCCTGTTCCTCTCCTTCTTGTGCATGGCAGCCCCGCTCCCTCACTCCTGGGCAGTGGCTATGGCTCCATCCCACTGGCTCACATGAACAAGCAGCCCCACACTCCAGAACCAAGTTAGTGAAGGTTTGGCTCTTTGAAACCTAGGGGGCTATGGTAGTTCCACCCCCAAAGGCCATGGTCCTACCCTTTCAGGCTGAGGCAGCTCTGCTTCCATTTCCTTGGTCTCCCTGCTTCTGCCAATTAATGCTGAAGGCAACCCACTCCACTGGAAAACTTCCTGCCCAAAAAGCACTCAGCTTTCTTGCTCCATGGGTCGGCCAACCTGCTACTCCACTTCAAGCCAGTCTATTCTACCAATTAATACCCAAAGGCAACCCACTCCACCAGTAAGCCACCTGCACAATGGCACCTGGTTTTCTCCTCCGTGGGCTGGTAAGTCTGTTACTGTTTAATGCCAATCTCTGGGCTTGCCATCTGCCATCTTTCATGCTGGTTTCTCAGCTCTGCTCCTGCCATCTCTAATGCTGGTCTCTTAGCTCTGCTCCTTCTGTCTCTCATGCTGCATGCCAGGTGTCTCTGCCAGGGTCTCTAGTCAAGGACGCATTCCACTCCTGTTTCCAGTTTTGGTATCTGTCAGAGCAGCACCCCACTCTCTCGGTACCAAGTTCTGTTCTGGTTACCTAGTGCCACTCTGACAAGAGTATACCACAAATGGGATGACTTAAACAAACAGGAGTTTATTCTCTCACAGTTTGGAGGGTTTAACTCCAACTTCAAAGTGCCAGGGTCTAGGGGCTGTAAGAAAGCCCCTGGACCTTGGGCTTCAGCTCTGCCTCTTGCTCCCAGCCAACTGAAGTGAGAGGCAGCTCTTCACTCAAGCAGCTACTGGCTGCTGAGGCTAACAAGCCCATGGTCAACAAATAAAATGGCATAGTCCTGATGTTACCAAACCACATGGCATGCCATTAATTCAACTCCATTGTAAGTCCCAAGGTTGGCAGAGCATGGCAGGCTGCTGAACAATGACACAGCTACACACAGGGTCCAAGCAAGCCATAAGCTAAAGACCATTCCCAAAGCTGCTTCTTATATACGGGAAGCAGACCACATGCCCAAAGCAGCTACTCAGCTGCTTGTGATAGATCCCACTATGGAGATGATTGCCAGTCTCATAATGGGGAATAACTACCATAGGGGCTAAGACACTTGCCTGCTAACCAGACGGCTGGTGGTTCAAACCCACCAGCCACTCCTCGGAAGAAAGGTTGGGCAATCCTACTTCCGTAGTGATACTGCCTCGGAAACCCAAGGAGGGGTCGCTATGAGTTGGGGCCGACTCCACGGCACATAACAACATAACAACAACTGCCCAGCCATTAAACCAGGCCCAGCCAAGTTGACACACAAACATAACCACCACACACTGCTATTCATAAGGTTTTCTCTGGCCAATTCTTTGAAAAGTGGATGGCTTCTTCTTCTGTCTCAGACTGGAATCTCCACCAAAATCCGTTACCATGGGCAACCCTGCTGGCATTTGAAACACCAGTGGCACAGCCTCTAGCCTTACAGCAACATGCAAGCCACCACTGTATGACAAACTGACAGACAAGTTCATCTTCCTTAGCTGTTCCAAACTCCTCTGCCCAGTTCCTGGCCTTCCACCTTACCTGTATCCAACCGTCAGCCCTGGCTTCTGGCTTCCTGCCTAGACCTCTTTTTCTCCTTACTTGTATCTATCCGTCGATCCCTGGCTTCCTGCCTCCTCCTCCCTTGGGGCTCTCTCATATCTAATCTATATAAAAAAAAAAAAAAAACTCACTGCTGTTGAGTAGGATCTGACTCATAGCGACCCCTCCTTGGGTTTCTGAGGCGGTATTACTATGAAAGTAGATTGCTCAATCTTCCTTCTGAGGAGTGGCTGTTGGGTTCAAAAACCCCCAGCTTTCTGGTTAGCAGTCAAATTCCTTAGGCACTATGGCACCAGAGGTCCCATATCTAATCTATACTCAGTTCTTTTTGTTCTCTTGCTAAACATGAAAGGAGGACAAAAGAGTCCTCAGCTTTAACCAATCCACTTTCCTTAAATACTTTTTACTCTCTTTAAAGATGTGGCTCTGACTTTTGTGTTTAAGATAATCACAGTTCTTACCTGGTCAGTTCCTCAATAACATTCTTGAAATTGTACAATTCTTCTAAAATGCGCTGGTCCATCACTCGCTGAGTCACTAAATCTTTGTAGAATTCAATCATCTGCCGTGCAATGTGGTCAAGCATTTGTACATACCTCTCTCTGCATAAGGAAGAAGGTACACAGACATCATACAGAAGGAAAGGAGAAAAATCCAAACCAAATCCACTGCCACTGAGTGGATTGCAACTTACAACAAGCTTTTACAACAGAGTAGAACTACCCCATATAGTTTCAAAGGCTGTAAATCTTTACGGAAGCAGAGATAAAATAATTTTAGGGAAGGAAATGGGAAACAATCACAAAAGATATGTGGGGAGAATGAGAAAAAGAAAGGAATCTAGGCTGTGTATTTCTATTACACTCATGCAAGTGAATGAACAATTGAGAACTATAACTAGAACCATAAATATTTGGCATATCTGTCTTGTTGTTGTTGTTGTTATGTGTCATTGAGTCCTTGAGTCAGCCCCAACTCATAGTGACCTGAGGTAGTATCACTATGGAAATAGATTGTCCAACCTTCCTTCTGAGGAGTGGTTGGGTGGGTGTCTTAGATGTGAGATAAAAATAATGACTTGTTTTATTTCTTCTTCTAGATTATAAAGTCTATGAGACTAGAAACTTATGTCATATGTTTGCATCTTTACATCATTGAAGAGAGTGCCTTGAATACTGTGAGAGTTTGGTAAATAATTGAATCTACGAGTAAAACCGCTTTTCTCAAATTGACCAAAATGTAAAATGACACCATTACCAATTAAAGAAATACCTTAAGATACAAAGAAGCCATTTCTTTTGCTTCTGAATAAAGCCAAATGAAATATTTGGAAATGATCACAGATGGAAAATTACAGAGACCACACTAAGCAGCCTTCATTTATATTAAAAAGTGATCTAGGTATTATATCTTAAGCCTGAGGTTTTAAACTGTACTATCTGTCATTTGAAATGGCCATTTAATCTAATCTCTCACCCACTGACAGAAAGGTTGTCACTGACAACCATAGGATTATCCAGTCCTTAATTAATTAAAGTGACTGACACTGAAAAATTAAACAAGATCACACTATACACAAAAATATCTCAAGATAGATCAAAGATCTAAAGGTAAAATCCAAAACTATAAAGTTCATCAAAGATAAAATAGGGGCAAACTTAGAGGTCCTAATATATGGCATAAATAGACTATCAAGCATAACACAAAATGCACAAACAGCAGAAGAGAAACTAGAAGAATGGGATCTTCTAAAAACTAAATTCTTATGTGCATCAAAAGACTCCTCCAAAAGGGTAAAAAAAGAACCTACAGATTGGGAAAAAATATTTGGCTATGACACAACTGAGAAGGGACTTATCTCTAAAATTTATAGAAAACTTCAATACCTCAACATCAAAAAGGCAAACAATCTACTTCAAAAATGGGCACTTTACCAAAGAAGATATTCAGGTGGCCAAAAAGTACAAGAAGAAATACTCATGATCATTAGCCATTAAAAAAACCAAACTCACTGCTGTCGAGTCGACTCTGACTCATTGCGACCCCTCCTTGGGTTTCCAAGGCAGTATATCTAGGGACGTAGATTGCCCAATCGTCCTTCTGAGGAGTGGCTGGTGGATTTGAACCACCAACCTTCTGGTTATCAGTCAAATGCCTAAGGGACTAGGCCACCAGAGATGCAAATCAAAACAATAATGAGCTATCACCTCAACCCAGCAATAATAGCAAAGTTCAACGAGACAGAAAACAGCAAATGCTGGCAGGGGTGTAGAGAGATTGGAACTCTCATACACTGCTGATGGGACTGTAAAATGGTACAACCACTGTGAAAAATAGTACAGAGCTTTCTTAGAAAGGTGGAAATAGAAAATACTATTTAATCCACTAATCTCATTACTAGGAATATATCATAAAGAGGTGAGATCCAGGACAAGAATAGATATATACACACTCATGTTTATTGCAGCACTAGTGCCTAAGACATTTGACTGCTAACCAGAAGGCTGGCAGTTCAAACCCACCAGCCACTCCTCGGAAGGAAGGTTGGGCAATCTACTTCTGTAGTGATAACACCTTGGAAACCCATGGAAGGATCGCTATGAGTCGGATCTGACTCGATGGCAGTGAGTTTGCTTTTTTTAACAGATAGAAACAAACTAAATGCCCATCAAGAGTTGAAAGAATAATTAAACTATGGTACATAGTTTGCCACATTAAAGAATAATAAAGAATCAGTGAATCACCTCATAATGTGGATGAACTTGGAGGACATTATACTGAGTGAAACAAGTCAGTCACAGAAGGACAACTATTATATGAGTCCATCATTAAAAAAGTCAAGGAAAGGTTTATACAAGGAAGGAAATTTTCTTTGTTGTTACTAGGGATGAGAGGGGAGGGAAAATAGATGGATAATTAAAGGACAAGTCTGATATGGGTGAAGGAAAAACCAATATAACAAAATTGTGTGACTAGCACAATATCACCAAGGAAAAGGAAGATACGAGAGGTGCACAAGAGGTACGAACAACAAAGATAAATACTATTGCCATGCTGCATTATCATTAATAGCAAACACTAATCTATAGGTGGATACATAAGTAGACAGGTATGGAGAAGCAAATGGGAATATACCCACCACCACACATAGGTTTGGCAGACCATATTCCTACACACGTACTTGTATGTACTATAAAAAATGTCCATATGCAGGTGGCAACGTTAGGATAACTTCTTAGGCACAAAGGGAGTGGGTCACTGGGCCTGCAGGCTGGGGACCATGGTCATGGGAAACATCAAGCTCAATTGACATAATCTGAAAATTATGTTCAAAATTATTGTTCTAACAAAAATATTGTTCTACATCTTACTTCACTGAGTAGCAAGTGGGGTCTCAAAAGCTTGCGAGAAGCCATCTAAGTGGCAACTACTGGTCTCTCCCCATCTAGGGTAAAGAAAAGTGAAGAAAATCAAAGATGCATGGAAACCGTCCAGAAGACTAATGGACTATGAGAACCTCAGCCTATATGACCCTGAGCCCAGAACTAAATAGTATCCAGCTGCCAATGCCAACCATTCGGAAAGGGATCAAAATTGGAGATCCTGGATAGAGTTGGAGAAAAAATCAATTAAAAAAAAAAAAATCCCACAGCCTTCCTGATCTGACAGAGACTGGTGAAACCACTGAGACTATGGCCCCAAGTCACCCTTCGAACCTGGAGTTGAATTTACTCCCATGGCTTAACTCTCAACCAGACAACAGACAGGCTAAACACCTACACCAGGGAGATGCACTTCTTAGAACAATCAACAATGGGAGATCAGGAGGGCAGAATTTGCACAGAGAGGAAGATAGGGAGGCAGGAATATACAGGCAAGAACAACACAGGGAAAGGGTAACCATAGGGAGGATGTGGGAGGTGACATGTTACACTGCAGGGAATGTAACCAGTATCACAAAACAACATTTGTATAAACTGTTGGATGTACAACGAATCTACTCTTAAAGTTTCACTCAAATCACAATAAAAAGTTAAAATAAATAAATAAATAAATTGAGTAGCACTTTATCAGTTCAGTGTGAAACTAATATATTGGAAAATACTAATTTTAAAGAACACCTGCTTTAGGACTTTCATTCCTGGCAATACAGGGAACTATAATTCTGAAGGGCCCTCCTATTACCACACAATTAGATCAACGATATAGCATACTTTACAAAGCTTTACTGGGCTCAGAGGAACAAACAGAAGCCTCTAAGGATGAATAAACAAAGAAACAAAATACAATAAACTAAAAATGGGATTTTCTCACAGATCCCTGTAAGAATGGTGGGGTGTTTGGCAGGATTACAGTAATCAGATCCAAGATTAGGGTTACTTCCAGGAAAAATACCAAAACTGGGACCCACAGACTCAGCCTTAGACCAATTACAAAGTAGAGGACCTGAGCACAGGACTACTGTATGAAACCATAATTAGAAAAGGGAATAAATTCAAATCCTCTTTTGATGAGAGCATCTCTGCTTTAAGCACTGAGAAGTTCATGATTAAGATCACCTAAATATTAGCTCACAAGAAAAGCCTGGAAAATACTCATGTAACTAAATCATCATTGATCAGAGTAAGAATAAACAAAAAATATAATTAGTTAGATACCTAAGGTCTTCATATATTAGAATTATCAGATTAGAATATAAAACAACTATGTATGGAATGTTTCCACCACTCATCATCAGTTTGTTGTACTGTGGTGGCTTGTGTGTTGCTGCAATGCTAGAAGCTACACCATTGGTATTTCAAATATAAGCAGGGTAACCAATTGGTGAACATGTTTCAGCGGAGCTTTCAGACTAAAAGAGACTTCTTCCTAGAAGGATGTGGGCAGTTCTACTTCTGAAAAAACTTTGCTCACTAAAAATCTTAAGAATAGCAGGAAAACACTATCTAATATGCTGAAAGAAGATGGAAGACACTCAAAATATAACTAGGGAAGAGATGCCTTCTCAAAGTAGCCCCACTACCATCAAGTCGATTCTGACTCACAGTGACCCCACTGGGCTCCCAACGCTGTCAATCTTTACGGAAGTAGATTGTCTCATCTTCCTCCTACAGAGCAGCGGGTGGGTTTGAAATGCTGACCTTCTGGTTAGCAGCCAAGTGTCTTACCCACCATGCCACCAGAGCTCCTCAAAGTAGAGTTAGCCTTAATGAGGTGGATGGAGTAAAGTTTTGGGACCTTCATTTGCTTATGTGTCACAACTCAAAACGAGAAAAAACAACTGCAAACATCCATTAATAATCAGAACACAGAATGTACAGAGTATGAATCTAGGAAAACTCAAAGTTGTGAAAGGTGAAATGGAACACATATATATTAATATCCTGTGCATTAGTGAGCTGAAATGGATGGTATTGGCCATTTTGAACTGGACAATCATAAGGTCTACTATGCCATGAATGACAAATTAAAGAGGAATAGTGTCAAAAAGAACATTGCAAGATTGATCCTCAAACAAGGTTGTAGTAACTCCTTGGCCACATCAGCTAGCTGGAGGGAGTGAGTAGTTGGACCTGTGGGCTTGGGGACCATGGTCCCAAGG